GTGTCACACAGTTTCTTAATGAGAATATACAAATGAATTCATCCTTTCTGTAGGATCTGTTCAACCCTGTTTTAAACCCCAATGTGTCACATTAATGTAGCAGGATGATCCGTCAGCCCTTCACTCCTTCTGTGGGAGTTTTTCTTGTTCATTTTTGTGTTTGCATTTCAAACAGCAGATTTTGTTTATGCATGCCGGGACATTTAATGCTGTTTGTTGTTTTTACATTTCCAATGTGTGACTTCATATCATCAGTCTCAGGTTAATCAGACATTTTCTCTGAAGCAGTTTTGTTACAGACAAATGCATGTTGGGATGGTGGGTCTTATTAAGAACAGGTGCTTACATCAAATAAACAAAACTTTATTAATTACATTGTTGCACTTCTTTGTTTGTTCAGGCACACACTTTATTTGACTCAGGAAAATAAATTAAATTTTCACTGAACTCTGATGGGAAACTAAGTGTATCTTAATGCAGATTATTGAACTTGGGTTAATATTTGGCCAAGATCTGATGTTCCTTCAGGTTTATGACCCACAGCCTGTGTTGATTGAAGCTAAACTTAAATATCTGCATGATGCAAAAAATACAATATTTTCATTTAAAACTGAAGTGATGCACATGTTACATCAGTTTTTACAATTAAATATATATTATTAATAAGGAACATAAAGGTTAATGCTCGATTTGATTTGGAATTTAATTTTAGTTTCTTCAGGAGCATTAGGAAAAAATGTTTTTAGTTTTTAGAGTAAAGACAAATGGGTCTTTTTTTTATCTAAAGTGATATTTTGATTATTCACACAAGTGACTAATCCAACAAGCATCTCCTGTAGCTCATTGTTTCCTGAAGAACCGACTCTTTTTCCTCTAGTTTAAAATGTCACCATCTGTTTGAAATGTTTCCAACTTAATTAAAGGACTTTACTTGTTACAAACAGCAGCAGAAGAGCTCAGTAATGTAGGCACAAATGACAAAAACAAGACAAACGAATTAAAAGAAAGCTAAACCATGATGAATACTGAACTCAATAATAAATTATATTTACAATGGACACAAACAGAGCCCTGCTGTTCAGATGGATTGTTTTAACAGAGAAGCTGGGGGTGGGCAGGGTCCAATCCTTCAGACACTGGCGGGGGTCCATATCTTACTGGTTTGAGTGACAGCAAAGCCCCAGTTAGGACCTTGCTGGGCTGAGCGATAGGAGCCCACCAGACTTATCTCCAACTCCCACAACTCACCAAATTACCCCCCCCCCMCCCCCCACCTCTGCACACACACACACACCTCCCATCCACCATATCGTGCCTTCCATAGAGTTCATCTTATATTGAAACTAATTTAAAGCCAGTGTGTTCAGGACTAACAAATGATACAGGTGATCTATGGTGCTGTCAGCTCTCAGAGCTTGTGTTCAGTGTGACTTTCAGCTACTACCACACCAAATTTAGCTCATCCTCTGTAAAACTGGCTGCGTTATAACCAGTTTTGAGCTGGCAATGGTTAAGTGGCGTTAGCAGCCATGTTGAATTGGGTTGACCTGAAAAGTTAATCAGTTGTGWGATGTGAATCCAATGATTACTTTCTGAGAGTCTCATTAAAATTCATCCAGTGGTTCATGAGATATTTTGCTAACAGAAAGACAGAGTTTCTGGTCAAAAATATGGTTACCCAATCATCTTCAGGTGAAAGCATCAATTGAAATGCTGCTAAAAGTAGACTTTTAGAATACAGCGTCAATATTTTTCTGCAACTTAATTAAAACAAGTTTTTACCTAAAACTTTCAGTTTCTGAGCAAAGATCCACCAGGTTTGTTTGTCCCAAATATAGCCTTTATCAGACACCCCAGCATGAGTGTGCAGTTCAGCAGAAGTTGGCAGCAGACCCAAGCATCAGATGGAAGCGAGCGCAGCGCAGGATGACGGCTGGAGCCGCAGAAACAGCAGCTTTCAGTAAAACCACTGAGAAAAGAAGTGACCTCATCTCACCCACTCTCAGCTGCCTCTCAGCACCGGTTATCAAACATGCTCAGTGGCCCAACGGTCCACAAGCAGGAAGTACCAAAATAAAGCAGGACGGGGTGAGGGGGTGCAGTGAGGACAGCTTCTCAGGGAGGATGGATGACTCTAACAGGAGGATGGTTATAGTTTGTCTGCTCATTGGATTTTCAGGTAATATCCTCATCCTCACCAAGTCATTTGTTCATCACTGTGTGCTTTAGTCTCCCTGACCTTTAGTCATCAGTGGCTCAGCCCTCCTGACCAACACATGATCCTTCTTTGCTTCAGATTTTCTAGCAGAGGGACAAACTGTGCTGGACGTGTGTTCAACCTGCCACGCTAACGCCACATGTGAGGACAAGCCAGACGGCCCAGGCAAAGTGTGTAACTGCAAGTATGGCTTTGTTGGGAACGGAAGAACCTTCTGTCAAGGTAAGAAAAACAAAAGCTTTTATTCTGTGTACTTATTTACTGAAAACGAGTAAACTTAAACTGTGAGTGAGTAAAAGTATATATCTCATGGCAACAGAGACAAATAAAATAAGTTACCAAAATCAAACAGGTTTGTACAAAATGAAAAAAAARKKTTTWAAWKKTYCYTTTTTTGTGGCAGTACATTGTACAAAAAATGTTTTACACAACTGAATTAAGTTTTATGATGATTTTACCACAGAATGTTGAACTTAGAGTGTGATGATGACACATTAAAATTTTAGGCTGTATATACAYATAAATTATTTTTCAAACTCTTCTAATTTCCACATAACCTAAAATTTCTTGTTCAAATTTAAACATAAAAATGTAGGGACATTTTTTGTTGTCTTTTTCTCTTCATAAAGTGCAGTGAGCATATCACCACACACATACAGTATCACTGACTTCCATTTTATCWGAGCCCAAACTTTTCTCTTCCAAAGTGAATATACATAAAAGGTCWTTGTAAACTTGTATTTCTTACACAAAACACTGCAGTCACATAAAAACACAAAACCAGATTTTTCTATCACTTATAGCAGAAGAGACTTTTACTTGTTTTACAGTGAATGTTTGATTAATATGAGGTGCCCCTTAAATTAAAGCTACTTTAKCAGCACGTTTTATCAAGTTTCTTGTCAGGGAGTGAGAGACATGTGTTTGGTTAGCATGGYGACCTTAYTGAGCCACTGGCATCRTTTTTAATGTTTCTTTTGATCCTCRTTCTCTTTAYACTTCTTACAGTTTATGTATAAAATGTCAGCAGTTTGTGAGCTTTGATTACAACAAAAGTAAATCCCAAATTACAGCTKGGGTTAATAGAGGAAAGCTGGTATATCTGATGTATTTATAAAGGAAAGAAGGCTGAAAGCTAAAGACTGGTTCTTGCTTTAGAATTCCTGTTTTTCATATAATGACTTGGATTTTACAAAAWTTATACTAAACCAAAGTAGAGAAGCTGGAACAGAAGAAATGTGAAGTTTTTACCACCTATCTGCATTTTGTTCTCAGTGTTTGGCATCAACAGAAATATTTTTAAAGAATAAATTGGACGGATGATTAAAATGTCATTACAATACATTTAATACACAATAACTACACAGTTACTGCACAATGCTTCTGATTTCAGTTGTATAACAGAGCAAAAACGACTCACCACTTGTTCAATATGAGGTAAAAGATGTGCTGGAATCTGGATTTGAATTTTAAATTTGATCCAATTATTTAAAAAGTAGAAGAAAAATGTTTCACATTTCAAACTGAAAATTGTCTRATGAGAAAGTTCAGTGCTGAGAGATACAAACCTACTTTAAAGGGATACACAATTACTTGTAGCATTAGAC